TTACCCGGGGCCCCGGTCTGGAGCCAGGTAGGGGCTGCTGCGCGGGACCTGACCGGGAGGGCGCGGGGGCGCGCAGGGTGCCCAGCCCCAGGGCCGGACCGCCCTCTGGGGTGGCTCTTCGTGGGGACTCGGGCTGTAGCCCTTTGTCCCCAGAGCCTCCACCCCGGCGTTAAACTTATGCTGCCGGGGCCCCACCGCTTCTGCTGGGGTGGGAGGAAGACCTCACCCTTTGCGCACTAGCGATCCGCTCACGACAGCCTTGGGCTTACTTCCCTCCGGCCCGGACTAGAAACCCTTTCTATTGTCCAGATTTGTCTGGGATATCTGAATCAGATAAAACGAGTCCCGTTTTTGCCACGAATTGTACCTCGCTAACGTCACATTTTTCAGATTCTACTTTGGGGGCAGGGACTCAGGTCTTCCCATTCCAACTTCGCCGCGCTCCTCTGTCCGGCTGTGGCGGGTTGCCTTTCCCGCTGGCTGCGGGCTCTGCCCTCCCCGCGCCCCGCTTCGTTGTTTATATTGATAAGCACCGTCTGGGCGCGATTCGAAGAGGCGGACAGAGGCCCCATTCAAGTTACCCTCCCGGAGCCGCCTCCTGCGCTTCGCCCCCTCCCGCTGACCCTGGGCACCTTCCTTTCATTTGTGCCCCACGAGGAGAAACCTGAGAGCCTGGCTTCTGTAGGTGATGGTTCCAGTTACTGAAGATGCCTCAAAAGGATTTAGCTTTACTTTTGGAAGGCATACCGAGTTGTGCCTAGAGTCTGGATTTGTGAGGCCTCAAGGGTGCCTTCAGTCTCAGGCTGAGGCCTCGGAGCCCCAGCTTTCCCTTCCTAGGCCTTTCCCACTGGTACAGTCCTCGGTAAACCTTGCTCCAGGCATAACGGAATGAAGCAAAATTAATATGGGCTCTCAGGAAACAAGGTCAAAGGGCATCCAAAGTTGCAAAATAATATGAAACACTCTTGAAACTGATGAGTCCAGTCCCTTTAGAACAAAAGGTGCTCTAGCAGGTGATACCTGAAGTTACTTCATCTCCTTGTAGTCAGAGATTGCTTAAGAAGGACTGAAAAGGGTTGCTGGTATTAGGAAAGGAGATCCTTGTCAGTTTTATGTAAAGAAGTTTTGAAACACATTTGAACATGTTGAAAGGAACGAATACCCCTTTACATGTGAGGTTTGTTGAACATCCATTATACGTCAACAAAACTTTTTAAGAGTTTTCAAATTTTAACAGTCTAGTGCAACCCAAGAACCCATCCATATCCTTGTTTTGGTGGTGTTTGTGCTGTAACTAAACCCAGGGGGCAAGGTCCAGACTCAGCGTCCTTAGGAGGTGGGTATTTAGTGCTTGGAGAAGCAAGGTGGCAGGTGGGATGGAATTCTGGGCAGGTAGAGTAGGCCGTGCCACCTCCCCAACTGGGGACCAAAAATGGACCTACCTGGCTACAGAGGAGAGCCCAGGAAGCAGGGCCCTGGGACCAGGCCTACCACACCTGAGGTGGGGCTCTCCTTGCAGGCGAGAGAGTGGAATCGATCCAGGAATTAACTCACGGAAGAATGTGAATCAGTAGCTGCCAGGCCTGGGATTTCTGGACTTCTTTTTTTTTTTTTTTTTTTGAGGAGGGGGTGAGGATGGATATTGGGGCACCAGTTACCTGCCAGTTACCATCTATCCTCAGTAGTATTTTGTAAAAGGAAGGACATTTTAGGGCCAAGAATTCCTAAGAACATGATCCAAGTTGAGTAAATTTAGTTTTATGAAAAATGCACTACATTGTCCTCATTTCTCCTTGGGCTGGTGAAACCTCCCAGAGGGGCACGGGTGGGCTAGGATGGCCCCTTCCCCAATTCTTCCAGGCTGGTGTCTGTAAGTCCTTGGATTCCTGAGAGGGAGGGGCTGGGAGAAGTCTCTGAGCATAGGAGTGTTCTGGAAATAAGTAGGCCTCCCCAAGGCTGGGGGAGTTCAAGGCAACAAAAC